TTGCTGTGTGTATGATTGCTGAAAAAGAACAAGGCCAGAGCAGCTGAAAACATTGCTAGGACTGACACTTAAGGCCGTCTCCTAGCATAGGCTGTTCTGGGGCCCTCTTCTCGGATGGCGACACTCTGGTCACATTAGAAGCTCGATCCAGTCTTTTTTATAGATCAGTGGTCTGACCTCCCTTTAGTCAGATGGAAGCCACCTTGTGTTGAAAGTGGATAAAATTTATTCGGAGTGACACTACCTAATGTAAACGGAAGACCTCTCAGGACAAATTTTATCCGGGTAATATGTGTGTCTGGGTCTAGCTAAAAGGCTGTTGCGCAACCTGCATGCTTTGCAGTAGGTGTTTTTTCAAGCGGAGAGAAATGGAATGCATTTGGAACGGAATGGTTTTGAAAATATAGTTGCATAGCATGCCGTTTCGTCAAGAGCCTTTAAACGTTCTTGTCGCATTAGAATTCTCATGCATCTTTCTGTTCAGGACATTGAGATGGGAATGTAAATATGGTTATCAGAAACAAATACTGCCTAAATATCGAAAGCTAAATGTTTTTTGTACCGTTTGAGGAACAAGCTTTCTTTAAGCCTGTCTAACTAGTTTTTGTTTTGTTATGATGCGTCCACTTATTAACACTACACAACTTCAATGCCCTTTCTAACTCTTTCTGCTTATAATGATAATAATAATAATTTCTTTATTTGAGGTTGGCACTTATTGCTAGCTCACGTGCTAATTCAAGCCAACCTAAACTTAAATACAAGATACTATAATAAACTAAAGCTAAATTACAAACGAGAGAAATCTATTAAAGAATATAACTATAAAAACACTAAATTACCTATACACAATCTGCACAATCTACAACTGCAATCATAATCGTAGTTTAGAATTTTTTTCAAGTTGTTAAGTGTCTGGGACTCTTTTATAGAAGATGGCATATCATGCCATATCCTAGATCCAAGAAAACATGCACTTCCAATACCATACTCTGCATGAAACAAACGCTTTCTAGTTTATCACAATGCATATTGTTATGGAGAAAATGTAAAACTTAGGTGTTATTCTGTTGGAGTAAGATATAAAAGCATATGCATTTATGAATCATAGAAGAACTGAAATATTCAATGGCCTACGCATTTGCTTATATTATTTTGATTTTATCCCGCTGTGGCCATATGTCTCCCAACTCTGGTTCAATTTTTAAAGCTCCGGTAGTTTATTGTCTGTCATTAACCTTACTGATCAATCTCAGACTTGCCTCTTTGTGCTAATAAATTTGTAATTAATATCAAATTAGGAAAAGAAAGAAGCCCAGCTGAGGAGAAAAATTAATTTTTAGTTTTGGCAAATATTGTTCTGATTTACAGATTAAAGTATTATCTTCCTAAACTCACTCTTTCTTATTCTAGCGTATTTTCATAAAATGCGCCATGTAGAATTATCACTTCAAAATTTAACGTAAAGCTGCATTTTTTGCAACATCTTTGCGAAAAGACTTGAAAGGAATCATTTTCATTCGTTCTTTCTTTCTTTCTCTACATTTTGTTTTAGTTACAGGTGAATTTTTTGCCTTCACCAAGCAAAAAAACTTATTACGAATGTTAACCGAACAATCTTTATTTGCCAAGCCTATTAATAATACAAAACGTTCTACAAAAGCCCAAAAAGCGTATTGGTAACATGATAAATAAATTTTGTAAAATTTGAAAATTCAGTAGCAATTTTATAAATTTAGAAAATCAGTTGAAAATTGTGCAAAATGAGCACACTTACCCAGAGGACTCTCAGAGCACTTTATTAGCTTGGAAATGTTGAGTAACGGAGAGAAAAGGGCAAGTAAACTAATTTCCTTCCTCAAACAGCTTCGATGATTGTTAATAAATGGAACTTTCGTACTATTAGATCAAACGCCCTCCATTTGAGAATAATTGGCATTTACATGTCTGAGGGTTGTAAGGAAGGTAAATGAATCTAATTGAATTTAAATTACCACACAAATACTATGTCTAGTCTAAATTTTTTAGAGGTTGACATAGTTTTAGTATATTAGCTAGGAAAAGGAGTAATACTTTATGATTTTAGCACTTTACCCAACCACCCTCAGAGGTGTTTGTTCATATTTTATAAATGCATGTGGCCCTATTGGTCTGCTCTTTCTGTTTGCCAAGTTTCTGTTTGCTTATAGGCATTGATTATTTAGGCCTTAAGCAGGTTAAGGTAGATGATTTATTTGAGCTTTTTGCAAGTTTGCTTTTTGAAAATTCGAAAGTTTGTTCCAAAAAGGAGTAGGGGAGAGCAAGTTGTTTATATCTACAAGCAATTGAGAGCAAGTTTTTAAGAAAATGTGCCTTTAAACTAAGATGAAGCCGATTGAGCTGACAGCATGAATTAAGCAGTGTTCAAGCAACAGCCTTCTTGTTTATGTCAATGATTTCGAAAATTTAGGTTAAATTTCTGGGATTTACTTTTTGTAAATCCATAGATAATTATCAACCATCAGATGCATATTGTAACCAATTTTGGATTTCGTTAGACATGTTAGAGAGCTCCATTAGCAGATTTTGCTTCATTCAGCAAATGTTAATTAGTCTTAATTTACTGCTGTTGTTAGAGGTCATTTCAATTGTGACGTTAATGATCGCATTAACCAATATAATGAACAATGGTTATAAATGTCTTGTCTAGTATTCTTGCGACTAAAAAACATTCTGCAAGGCTGAAGTTAAATGTTTTGTTTAAATTTGAATTTAAAGGCAGTCTGTCCCCTATTGTGCTAAATTTTTTTTCACGGGAGTGAAATTCACGCACCGTTGAGCTTGATCGATAATTAAACGATTTAAACTAATCAGAGACAACTTTGATTCCAGAGCTTTTGAACTAAATGGCTATGTTCCCATTGTAGTGAAACTGTGGCTGAAATTTTTTTTTTCTCTGTTTGGTTTGTGCGACAGACATGTCAACAGCAAAATGGAAATGCTTCCATCATCATCATTCCATTCCAGTTATAAAATCTTCTTGATATTTCCGATAGCTTTTTGCTCGCAGTTTCAAATGTCGTCCACTAACGCAGCCAGGCCAGCCAAAGCGAGCAGCGTAATCCGTTGTTCATATAAGAACTATTGTTCATATTGTTCATTGAGGGGACAGACTGCCTTTAAGTTTTTATTAGCGGTTAAATTCAACTATTTAGTCGACAAAAGGGCGATGAAAGGTAACTTTGGCAAAGGGTATTAGATTTGATATAGATATATATCCGAATCACCCTACACGTTTGTGAGAATCACGAATTCATTTTTAGGCACGGACTTTCGGGTTTTTACCTCCTTCCTATCAATGCCCCTATTGTTACGGTCGAAACAACTTCGAATCGAAGCGATTCAACATTTTCCAGGGCAACTTAATGATGGTTAAAGCATGAAAATTGATACTACATTGATGATTACATCCTCAGTCAGACATCAACTTGAATGACTCAAAGACACATTACTCAGCTCCTATCTACATCTTGCACCTGCTTATCTCTTTCTACAATTAAATGTTAGACATGTATGTTAAGATCAACTTTTATCCGTTCCTTGTCACCGGGTCAAGGCACCATAGAGCGTTTTGAAAAGTATGGGGGGGGGGGGAGGGGTAAACCCACCCTCGGTCAGTATTTATATTTTCTACAATTCTCTTGACTTTAGAAATATGAAGTTGACTGCTAAAAACTAGAGTTTTTAGACTCATTTGAGCTACTAAAATTCATTATTTTGTCATTTTCGGTAAAGCTTTCTTTTTTCTATTTAGTAGCTACAATGTTTGCCAAAAGTCTAGGTACACTAATGTTTTCAGGGGGAAATTCAACCATTCCCTTTCCCATCTTTGAACAATGTTGGTTTGCTACAAAGCGACGTAGTGGATTAGAAAGAAAGCTTTTTTCTGCGACTCCTATCTTTTTTCTATATTATCAACATTGTTTTGGGGGAAAGGGGGTGGGGAAATATTAGTATCAGGGAAAAGAATTGAAACATATAAAAACGCAATTGCTGGGTGTTCCAAGTACTTTTGGCATTGATTGTATGTAATTTTTAGTAGTCATTTCTTTGTGGATAATTCTAACATCACATTTCAAACGAATTAAAAAGGTTTTTGCAAAGATATTCCAAATCCTTTTTCGGCAAATTTTATTCTTAAATCTTTATACTAGTTGTAAAGGTTTTACATGACCAATTCTAAAGAGTTAATTCTGTCGGACTAAACCAAAGAGCTAAACTGAATGCAGGCGAAAAAATATGACTTTTCTTTAAATAATCTTCAAAGTATTTGTTGAAATCTGCCAACAGAAACTGTCAATATTGGTAGGTGTAAAAAATTACAGCCAGATTGCCAGGCTTGCATAGGAAATGCGATTTTTGCAATGATTATGGAGTTTCAAACAAATTTAACAGGTTTGGACTTAATACCTGTTATTTTGTTATAGAAGAGTTGCTTGAGCATAACGAAGCTATTGCCGTGCAGGTAGCGTGTTACAATGAGTCGATTTTCATGCTAGCTTTTAGAATTATGTTATTCTAGTTTTTTGGCGAATTTGCGAATTATTCTAGCTTTGTGGTGAATTTGTTGAATGAAATATTAAGTATGAATGTAATTTTTGCCGTGTGTTATAGAATCTTTTGTATGCCTACAATGTTTGATATGGTATCTTTAAAAATGAAGGTAGACAATTGTTATCGCTCCAGAGGCTCGTAGATATCGTTCGAAACGATTTCATCAAATCTTGCTCAGGCATTAGTAGTAAAGACTTTTTTACCAACAGCTTAGGTCTTTGACAATCGAAAGATAAGCAATAGTTTTATCTGTAACTAATATTTTTCTAGGGAATTATGTTTTACTAATTACTAGTGAAGCAAAAGCCCACGTTTAAACAAAGATTTGGGTAGTCCTTGTTGCATTAGCGCGATTATTGATTAGTTGTTCCTCACTTACTCTACAAACTCCAAAATGAATCACTCACCTATTGTTGTAACAACATTCACGCAAAAGAAAAAGCCATTCGCAAAATCCCACTGTGGTGATGCCCCAAAGAGACCATCGCTCACGAGTTCTTTAATAAGGTTTTCGAACACTTTCATGTCAGTTTGATTAATACCATAATCTCTCATAAGTTTATGCTTTGAACTATTATATCTTAATGCGAGCTTATTAATTTTTTCCTCCTTATATTTTTTCTCGATACCCATAAATATCCCGGCTCCGATGAAGAGGTACACGAGAAACAAGAGTGCCCTCGTGCCAAGTTTCTGTATAACTGCTTTCCAACGAGACATTCTTTGCACGATCTGTGTTGATCGATTCCTTTACGACCGAGCATCGAAGAAAGGTTTTGCTTTTTGATTCTCAGATTCACTGCTTTATCAAATATTGACCATTTGCATATAGGTTGCGCTCCGTGGCTCAAAGGTGTGTCCTCAAGGCGTGTCTGAAAATTTATATATCTCTTCTGCAAGACAGTGTGACAGAATAGTCGCAATAGAACGTCAAAACTAACCAAGTCAGGTTTAATAGCACTGACTGCAAAATCTATCTATTGGTCTCTCTCGGAACCACCTGCTCTCCTCATCTGAGTTCGCCCCGTTCGTTTGATTGTCTTGTCAGGTACACCATTGTTCTTCTTCAAATTACATCCATAGCAGGAAAACACACGGCCAACTCTTATTAAAATATGAATTAAAGATGAACTTTGTTTACCAAAGATTGCTGATGCTGTTGCATTGTCATAGCAACAAGATATAAGCTCCCGGTAAAAGTTCAGGAAGAAAATATTTCACTTCATCGTTTTGCTATTGTTTACCGCGCGATAGATCTTCACTGCCAGTAACTAGAATCTACGATAACACGCGGATATGATACGAATCAATATAATGCCTATCCCTATCGTTTGTTTGAATTCTTTTCGTCTCCGAATCATTTCGTATCGTTTCTCGTCGCTTTTCCAGCTTGCTCTTTAACGGTAATATTATTGCATGATATTAAGAAACCTGCGAATAGCCCGTTTTGCAGTCTTCCCTTCAACGGAAAATTCTATGACGTAAGAGTGCGTAATCTTCACAGTATCATGTCCAGTAACTGTCAACCACTTTAAATTCTTAACGATCCTTCATTTTTAATGCGATTCATTTGCACTAGTGGCGTCAATTTTCGGAAAGGAATGATATGCTGGCGTAGAAGTTTGCTAAGTCAACCGTCGAATCAGATCGTCAAGTTGTCAAAATATCAAAAATCTGTCATAAACTTTCCATAAGTGCTAATGTAAGTAGGCCATTTGTTCCTGCAGCTTTTTTACGAACATAAACCTCTTTATAGACGTCGCCGGTTGATGAATGTGAAACTGCTATCGCTGATCAGCTGATAACCTTGATTACGCGTTTCAAGGCATCTGCTTCGTTTGAAAACAAGGGAATCAACCGCGTTACACGGAAACTCGGATCCAAACTAGTACGGACCCACTCGGAATCGAAACTCTTTTTGGCAGTGCATATATGCGATAGGATCATGAAGGCCTTGCATTTATTTACATCAATCCGAATATATAATCGTTGTATTTAAGAATTATTTCTGCTATGATACTAATGATGCACTCTCTATATGTCCGAAGATTAGAGATCTTTCGTGCTGCAGAAAGAGCCAAATTTTGAATATTTTATACATTTCTTGACTATAGGATCACTCTAACTATAATTTTGAACTGATCTGTTGAAGCAATCCGTTAAACACGTGCCCGATAGCATGCATGCATAATCTAGTCTCTACTCTTCTCCCTTGTTGAAGCGTATGCTGCTTCTGAGTAGCAGACATTACAACAAAAACGGGGGTTGAGGGGGGGCTATAAATTCTCAACACCACCTGTCCAAGATTGTATATCTTTTCGTGTAGATTACTGTGTAGATTTGTATATCATTTTGTACGCTAAACTGCCACAACGTTAGTTATTCATCTGTCTGCAGGGAGCGGCAAATGATTAAAATTGATGTCCTGTAATGGAATTGTTTTTATCGCAAGGTGCTGAAGCTTGGTTCTACCTTGCGGTGAATCACGTACAAAGACAAGCACGCAATATATGCGCAATGCAAGCAACTTATCAAACATTAATGATTGTTGCTCTTAACTGATCACTTCCCGTGAATCCTCTATCAGTGGCCCAGTCTTTAAGTGAAAATAACAATAAACGCCCCCCCCCTTATTAATAAGTTCTCATTTTTATATAAGGAGTATGTGTATGCAAAATGTATGGCATTAAAACAACACCATATTCTTACTCTTGTTGACGTCATATATTGCATTTATAATTCCGTTAATGTTCATAGCATTTTCAAATGTATTTTGAAAGGAATTTCTTGAACTGTTCGGTAAAAAGTCAGTCAAACTATTTTTAACACCCGCTGTATATAAGACAAGGCGCTCAGGATTCTTCAAAGTCCAGACGAAAAAGCGCTCTCTTTTTCAGGCAGGTTGCTGCTATCATGGATTTCGCAACTGTTACTTTTTGCGGTTCAAATGAAGGACACCCACGTGAAAAACTACCGCCTGCTAGCCGCTGCCGCGTGTAGCTAGTCGCGCAACTTGCAAATGAAATCAAGAAATCCGAATCTTGAATTTCGGAAGATAAACAAACTTTGCGATTAATAAAGAGCAAGTTTATGTCAAGAGTACATTGTTGATTCCCGTAGAGACAGTTAATTCTTCTAACAAAAAACATCAATTTGGACTGTTTGGACAAATCCAGCTTTCACCAAACATTACGTCACGGCTGTAACTCTCTGCATTTGAAATAGATTTTCACAATCACTTTTGTTGATTTTATCAATCATAGCTCTCTCAATCATAGAATCTTTATCGAACGCGATCTTATTTCACTTCCAAGAATGTCCCATTCAGATAGTAATTCGATTGAATCTGGTTTCATCAGACTTTATCGAGTACGCATCATTTTTCGATCATTTGATAACAATTTTCGTTATTTAGAATTTTCGGAATGAATTGATTTTCATATTTATGATTTAAATCATCTAGGCCACAATGTCCTAGAAAATAAACCAGTTTTTAACCAATATTCTTCTGCAAGGAGATACAACAAGTTTTATCAATTAAAAATAATGACAATTCTTTACAGAATCTACAAACAAATGAAAAATCAGTTCGTTAACAGTAAATATGAAAAATCAGTTGGTACACTTGGGTTTGTAATTTGCACGTGTCCCTGTTGTTCCCCATTTACAAACTTGGGTTGGACTCCTGCCAAAATGGGCCTCCCAACACCTCACCCACAATGAAAAACCCCTGTTGGACTCCCCTAAAATGAAATTGCTTTAGACTCTCTGAGACCTTGGTTGGAACTTTTTATTAGCAATGTTCACTTCTTTTCAGTTTCAGTTCAACTTATCGAGATATAAAGAAGGAAGTCAACAGTTATACTTCTTCCATACAAAATTATACTCCTCCCAGTTGATAACAGCAGCTCCATCTCATACAAAAAACTGACTATTCTCAGTTCTTACCAGTTTTCCTTTTTCCAACATTCCTTATACCTTAATTTTATCATTTTTTATTGACCATCGCATTATTTCATCTCTATGTGTCTTCTTCGGTCTGTCATTTATTTACAGCCACTTTTCTTCTTCATTTCTATTACAACTGAAATGATTTCCGCAGAATCTTCCAAAGCTCTAAGGTACATGTCAACCTTTTTCTGGACTGTTTTATTAAATGGACTGGTTTCCTACCATTAATGATATTCGATCTGGTTTGCTACCATTGATGATATTCCATGAAGATTCGATCTCGGTTTTTCATGAACCTTCTGAAAAGAAGCATAACTACTGCCATGTACAACCATTAGCGGTGTATCTGCAGATCCTTTACGTTCTGCAAATTCATGCGCCTTTCCAGTTGTATAAAGTTGCCTACTTTTGCATCTTTCTTACAGATCAATTTCTTTTATCTTCTTCTCTTAGTCAATGCTGTTTTCTATGGAATCAATTAAATATACGTTGATTATCAACGGAAAATCTGAGTCCTGAAATTTGTGAGTTGATGACATTTCTGTACTGAATTGAAGAAGAATAAGGATCCAAATGTGTCCGTTTAAACTAACTGTCCTAAAAATGGTCAATAATCAATGGATCGTCGCACTTATCAAGAGACGCCAGCAATTTGTGTTGTTCTTGGCAGATAACTGAGATTAGCCACTGATGACAATGATAAAAGCTCAATTTCCTTCAAAGTTTGACTTTCTTATTAAGAACAAGAAATTGTTAACTGTTGCGGGCAAGGGGCAACCTTTCTTCGTTAAACCCCTTTAGGTAGGCATTGGTTTTTCAAGTGTGAAAGAAAGGCGGGAAATGTAATCATAGACGTCATGTAGACTTACTCCATGAGCCCCTGTTTCGCTGCTGCCTCACTTGACGGACGCTGCAACATAGCAGTAGCGCCAGTTAAGTGAGGCAGTAGCGAAACAGAGGCTCACGGATAAAGTCTAGACGTCATGTAGCTGGGTTTTTTCGGACGTATTCCTCCTTTGTATCTGAATCTGGGACGAATTCGTGAATTCACAGAAATAAGGAATAATCGATCCTTCAAAACTACGACATTAAAATGTAGACAGGTTGCGTTATTTGCTTTCCTAAGCTTGCATTTCAGCATCATTGTCACTTGATTAACATGGAAGAGCTGCCGAAAAGATACATTTTGAAATCTTATTTACCAAGAGCAGTTGCAACTTCATCACAATGTCCAGCTGGGTAAACGGCTTTTGCTTTCGTTTGAAGATTGCGAAATTGGACGTAGTTTAGACTGGGACTTATGATCCTGGACTAAATTGCCGAGACAAAATACATTACGTTGCAATTTTGTACTTTACGTTGCCCCTGTAAATTCGAATCCTCCTCTTTCCACGTTCCACCTGTAACAATGTTGTGTTTGTAGTCCCATCATTTGTGCTTCAAAAGCAATTATAATAACATTGAATGGGAGAGGAAGGAAAGTTTTTTGAAAGGAAAGAGAAAACATCAATTTTTCTTGAAAAGTCTCAACTATTTTTGTCCTGGGTTGTAGTTTAGATCTGGAGATGTTGGTTCCCTTTTGAAATTAATACTTACGAGCTGGCTCACTCTCTTTTTAACTGAAATGACAGATAGTGGTAATTCATTGGGTTTGGTTTGGTATAAACTCTTTTTTTATAAGAACAATTTTATAAGAACACGAGCCTCAAAATTTGTCAAAAGTTAAGAACAAATTAAGAACAAGCTGAGGCTGAGCTTCTGCGAATTTCAAATTTTGAACAACGTTTTTTCTCAAAATCGAGGATTTTTAGCGATGTGTGGGTGCTTTTTCGGTGAATATTCGAATTTGTCAGCAAATTGAGGCTGTCTCACTCACTTTGTCGGCAAATGAGGCCTGAACACTTCCTTAGAGCGAAAAAGCTAGCAATAGCACTGCTTACACCCTTTTAATTTAAGAACAAATTAAGAACAATCCAGCCTCAGATTTTCGAAAAATTAAGAACAGTCAGCCTGAACTTATGTTTACTGGATCTTATAAAAAAAGAGTATATTAGCTGTATTGTAATGTCACCAAAATTTACAACAAAATAGAATCCATTATCACAAGACAATCATATTCCTTGATTTGCCAGTTATAATTTTTCTTGAAGCGTGAATTGTTATTGAATGAGTTGAACAGATTATTACATTTGTAGCTTTTTTCATAAAGATACATAGAATTGGTCGTTTAGATGCCAAGTGTTGACTTATATAGAACAATTAGAAATTCAGCGTTTAGAATTCTAGCCTCTTTGCTCATTAGAATTTTCATAAACAAATCTGTGTCATGCGACTTCTTCTCAGAGAATCGTTTCTTCTGATGGCGTTAAACTAACTCAGAAATGAATTGCCTTATATTCAATAGCGAATTCATATTGTACTTTTATCACAGGAATCAACAGTTTTAGCTCTTTTCTTCTAGTATTTGCTGTATTTTTTAGAGTACTGTACTTTACATACTGTACTTTTGATTATCATGTACCCATATCTAGCACATGCACCAGCATGCACCTATATCTGGCACAACTTACAATCACTGGCAAGACTCTTGGAATACTAACTCAAGTTTGCAAATAACATATTGTAATAGTAGATCTTTGTGCAAATGACTTTTTATTAAAACTACAGAAAGCTCTCTATCAATTTGTATAAAACGTTTTGAAAGCCTAAATTTTAATGCTGATTAGAGAAAGTACTGCATAATTTCATAAGATTTAGTCCTGTGAATGAAATTTCATGTTAAGAAAGGTCTTGTTTTGATCTTAATTTCAACCTCTTCCTATTTGCGTGGGCCAAAAAGACTCTGTCCTGCTTTGAGATTAAAATTTTACGTGGGTACTGATGAACTTGCTACAGCTGAGCAGCAAGTTGTAATTAGATATTTTACATATATTAGGTAAAAAACATCATTTTGTTTGTCCAAGAGTTGAATTCAAGACATTTTCTAGTTTAGAATGACTCAACATTATTTAGCCAAGGTAAAGCTAAACTGCCTGGAAGTGATATGCTTTTTATTCGTGGCATGGCATTGCTATGACAATGTAAGCGACGATACGAACATTCTGGTCCTGAAAACGCTCGACTTTACATGAAAAAATTCTTTATAAGCTGATATTCTTTTGCTCTCTTGTAAACGACGGTCTTTTATTTCTCAGTTATGGTGTTTGTAATCTTGTCCCCTAGATTATTCGGCAACAGTATTATTTATCCGTTTAGT